GCCCCGCCGGTGCTAGGGGAGGGTTAGGCCCGGGGAAGCGGTGCGTCTGGGGAGGTGGGCGCTGCGCAGCACCGCGCCTGCGGCGTGCCCCTGCTAGGCGTTCCTCTCCGTGGCCGGCCTGCTCGCTACAGCGCTCGCCCGGGAAGGCGCACACCAGTCCCTCCTCCAGGACTTTTTTCCTGTGTTTTGATCATGTTAATGTGCTTAATAATAAAAAAGAGACCATGCCAGCAAACGGAGGGAGATAACTCCTAACCAAAACTGAGTGTAGTTACTTGTAGGTTATGTGGTTGGTTCAACTAATTTTGATTTATAATTACTGCAGAGGCCCAATTTCCACAGGAAAAGCAAAGATGCAGAGTGGAGGTTTACACATGTCGCTTAGAGATGATGTATTTTGATTGTGCCCAAGCAGAGGAAAGAATTGAGTCCTGTTCTCCTTAGATAAGTAATCAGTTGAGACAGCCAAAATGTTGGCCTTGAGCACTTCTAAGTGCAGTTCCCTCACTGGGGTCACCTGGTCTTGTAGCCACGGTGGTGTCAGGTCATCCCCGGCTAGCAGGAAGCGGCAAGGCCCCATGAGCTGCCAAGACCAGGCCCACCTGCTTGAGGCTGCGCCAAGCACCAGCGCTGCAGCAGCTCTGCCCAACTGCAGCAGCCCCGCTAGGGCTGTGAAGGCCGTACCGCTCAGCTACACGGCATAAGATAGGTAGTTGCAGCAGTCTTCCCCCCTCCCCCTTTTTTTTTTTAATAAGTGATCCGTTTCCTAGTTCTTAGACAAGGATGTTATCAGCATCTTCTCTCCAGTGTAAACAGAATGAGGATTCCAAAGAGAGAGAAAAAAACCCCGAAACAACACTTCCCTGGGGGGCTTGAAGATGCTCCACTCCATGGAAGAACTGGATTAATGAAACACCGTTGTACTTCGGATTTTCTACCATACAGCTCCTTAAGCAGTATGCAGATTGCTCTGGATCTCACCCCAAAGGGATTAGCTTCTCAACAAGTACTGTATGGCTTGTATAGATTACACATTTTTCTTCGAATTAAGTACCCAGATTTATCTTTGGGGATCAAGAACCTAAAAATACAATCCCACCGCAGCACCTAGCATTGCAACCTCACATTTAGTGCTTAATCCCTTTCCTCCATGTTTCCTGCCAGCCAAGCGGAGTGACTGCCTGCCCAGGAGCTGTGCTTCTGTAGAATGTGGCATGATGACAAGGGCACTGACCTCAAGGTTAAACTGGTAGCATGACTAAAAGCTTGGTGTTGCAACTCTGCTATGTATTTATTCATGCCTGCAAGTAAGACAGCAAAGGTTTCAGCCATTATCCTGATACTCATGTGTATCTGTGTGTGTCTGTCTGTCTAGGGCAAAGTAAAGTATCATAAAGGAAATGTAACTGGGCATGAGAAAGATCACCCAGTTAACACTGTAACATAAGAGGGGTTTCCTGTGGGGCTGCCTAAGGTTATCTCACCCCACAGTCAGCCCTCAAAGTGCTCTTTGAACAGCCAGCTCCTTGTCAACATACCAGCTGAATGTGAGCAGCTGCTGACGGTGGAATGCCATAGCATTTGTAACTATTAGTTAATTGCAATCTCTCAAAAGCTCTGTAATTCTTCTCTCACTTCACAGATATGGAAAGCAAAACAAAAATTAAAGGGACTTATTCAATTTTCTAAAGGATGGGAAGATGAGTAGGCATAGCCTACTTCATCAGCTTCTGCATTTCTCCAGCTGTGCAGAATGAAAAAAGAAAAAAAAGCAGGCAAGAGCATGGCATCACCACAAATTTGTCAACTTTACACTTACTGTCACATCATCCAACCACAGAAGGTGCAATTCATCTCAACTAACTTTAATATGAGGGTGGTTTTCACATCTGATATGGTCGGTCTCAACTCCCTATTTAGTCAGTGAGGAGAAACAGGCATGACTGATCCAGCCCAGATGTGCTAATCAGAAGGAGGTGTAAACATCTGCATCTCTTCAGTGACTACAAAACAAGCAGCTCAGATCCAGGCACCTGTGTTTGGTTGCACAAATGCCCTTCTCCATTCTGAGCAGGAGTAAGGACAGAGCTACCAGTCATTGGCCTTCTCTTTTACACTTTAACAGAGGGTGACATCAGGTAAGATTGGGTGCTTGTTGAAAGCTCAGGAAAGCATTACAGCTGCAGTCAGCTTATCTAATGCCACAGCTGAAAACACAAAACAAATAATACAGGACTATTGAAAATGAACTACTGCTTAAGGTAAAGACCTGATGTGTGTGGTTCCTTTTTCTTCAATCTTAGACTAAAGCTGATCCTGAATGCTTTTGCAGCAAAAGCTATGGAGACACTGCAACAACAGGGAGATTCTTAAAGCTGTGCTACCCAGGAAGTGAAACCCTTCATGTCAGACAAGGCAGGACAGCTAACAACAGAACCTTTCTGCACCTTGCAGAAGAACTGGGACTTGGAGGCATTAAACTTACTCCAGATACACATAGGTATGTTTTTACGTGATACTCTATTGGAAGCGAGAGGTCATTACATCATCTCCGATATGCAGGAGAGGGATGCTTATACTCACTGTCCTTTTGGTGCCACCGCGCTGCATGCAGAAATGCACCGCCGTAGTGAAACATGAACTTGTGCCCGGGGTGCTGAACTGCCCCTCGCAGCAAAGGCAGCAAGGTGCGCCCATCAATTACCCTGATGGAGAGGAACAGATTGCTTAAGATTTTCAGCCTGCAGCTGGAGCGTGAGCAGTACTCACTCTCCATGTATGCAGCATTAGGATTTCGAGTGTCATTTCTAAACCAAGCTACAGTTTAGCTAATGAACCCTGAGATTTTTAATTGTGTGGATGGGTGGAGACTAGTGATTAGCAGTTACTAGCAGCTTTTGCAATTACAGCTAGTTCACACATCCTGCCTGCGGAGATAAGTCAACATTACTGTAATTTTCCTGGGAGTAAATGATAACCATAGTAAAGACATGGTTCACAGCTTTTAATTTTGCTGCCTGAAATGGAAATCACTGACAGCTCTGTCAGCTTGAGGCTTCATTAAAAAAAAAAATCCCAAACCAAAAACCAACCAAAAAAAACCCCCACTTACTGAATTGACTAACAGTTGGTTTAGTTACACACCACCAGTACTTCTATGCTTTTTGCTCAAATGGCTTAGCCACCCACACTTGCTCGTGTGCTTTAGAGGAGTCAAACATAGATGCTACAAATTGTTTACTATCGAGGAAGCTACTTCGGTATTGTCAGCCAAAGGCAGGCCATGTGCCATTTGCTCCACCTTCCCTACTTGTGAAGACCCAGACTTCCTAGTCTTGGAAAGGGCCTGTCCTAGTACTCTAATGCGACCAATGAGCTTTGTGAATATCTGTGGATTTTTCATAAAAAATAAGATTAAAAGAGGCTTTTTGTTTGGGTTTCTTTGGTTTGGGTTGTTTTGTTTTTTTTTTTTAATTGTTGTGTTCTTTACAGTTATCCCAATGTCCCAAATCAACCAGGTTGCCTTTTAGTGATTAGAAAACTGTTAGCTAAATGACCCTTGATACAGCATACTATTTTCCTCTGCCTTTTCCATATAAGGGGAAAGCTAGAAACTGGGAAGCCCGGTTAAGAAACAAACAGGATTTAACCTGTGGCTGTTAGGATGACATATATAATCAGCTTTTATCTAAATCTAGAAAAAGGAGCAAATACAGTTTCTGAAGTCATCTTTGTACCTGTCCTGAGGCATTGTCCCTCCAGCCAGGAGGGTGAACCACTGTTGGGAAAATGTCCATAAGGCTTGTCAGTTCATTGATAACTGTCCCTGCAGGCAGCACTCCTGACCATCTAACTATTCCTGGGACACAGATCCCTCCTTCCCAGCCTCCCATTCCTTTTCCACCTGTTAGAGGGGAGAAAAAGAAATGTAAAAGAATGGAAGATATTTATTATATGCATGTATAAGAAAAGGTAAGACTTTAGGGATATTCAATTAACTTTAATGAAAACACACTGAATCCTGGAGAACAGTAAAATGACTACAGTGCAAATTCTGTTCTTCAAAAATAAGCATTATTATTTATTATTATTATTAATCTTTATTTTACACTGCTTTCTTGGGTGGCACGTACAGCAACCCATTACTAAGCAAGTTTTTTTGGCAGAAGAGGAACAATTCCACCCTCTGACGCCTGAGAAGACATTCTGATCCATAATTTTGATTGAATGTCATGTCTGAGAATAATCTCCACACTAATAACATAGACAAGAATAAAGTCTATTATTAATAAAAAGCAAAATATGACTTGGTGTCAATGGAACAGAGGTTGCAGCCCCACTTGGTGCCTGAAGAAGGGGGATTAATACAGGGCAGGCTTGGTTGTCAGTTCACAGTCAGAGGCAGCAGGAACATTATGAAATTATTTCAGTCCTGGAGAACAGTGAGGGTAATTAGAATAACGTTTGATTGCCCCCCAGGAGTTTACAGTCCCAGGGATGCTCTGAGGTGTTCCCAAATGGAAGAGTGCAGAACCTGTGCAGTAAATAGGGAATTGCTCTGAATACTCTGCAGTGATGAAGACTTTCCACCTACATTTCTGTTGAAGTTATCTTGAGGTGTTCCAAAGAATCTTTCTTAACTTGTGTCGTGGTTTCTCTTGCATTCCTCTAGTCTTCTTCTAAATTCTCTCCTCCACGCATTGGCTCTTACAAGTCAAAATTTTCATAGTTTTGAATTGAGAATGGTTAATTAATTACAGATGTGAATTGTAGATGTCAAGGATGGGCATATTAATGAAACAATGTCGTTTAAAGCCAGAAATCCAAGTTGAGGGTCCAGTTAGAAAATAAAAATTGCAAAATGTTGAAGCTCAGGTACCTATATGACCTTTGTTCTGTTACTCCTCCTATCAAGGGCATGAATGACAAGTCATTGCTGGAAAGCATTGTAGGAAAATTGGCAAACAAGACTTGAAGCTAGCTCCTTAGCACAGCGTCTGAATGGTAGTTTATACTAACCTCTGGCTTTGCTAAGTAATGCCGGACTTTGCTAAGTAATGCCGGACTTTGCTATGGAGGAGGTGTGCTCATAGTTACAGCTGAGAGGCAAAGTTCCCAGAGCTTGGTTTTAAAGGCTGACAGGGTGGCATGATGAATTATAAACAGGGCAATTCCAGCTGCTTGTGCAACAATCTTTGTGCTGTGTAAAATAATGGTATCTATCTCATGCTTTGTTATTCATTAGCGGCTATTCTCATCATTCATATGTGTGGGTTATCTATCTTCTTGTTTTTAATATCCTGTTAGCAATAGCAGCAGTGAGTTCTACAGATACTTATGAATTAAACTAAATTTTTTAATCTTTTTGGTGTTGTCGCTGGTTAGTTTCACTGGGATGTCCCCTGTTCTGCTGTATGAGGAGATAAATGGGAATGCCTTTCTGTTTTTAATACCTAAAGTGATATTATATCTCCTCTGTCTTCCTCTCTAAGCAGCCATGATTTCATCATCGTCTTCTTATACTGAAATCTCTGTCTAATTGCATTCACCTTTCCTCTCCAGACTCTTGTGTTACTAATATACTTGGATTAGGCTAGTAGAAATGAATTCCCTCAGTTAGTTAGGTTCTGAGCTATTCAAGTGAGCTCATTGGCCTTTTTGCATCTGTTACTGGTATGGAAACTTCATATACAGAACTGAAGACTAATTTAGCATTTAGAACTCTTCCTGGATGACACCCCAGCTGTATTGCTTCTGTGGCTCATCAAGTAACTTACTACTAGACAATGTGCATTTTGGTGCTGACCAAGACCAAGGCCAAGGCACCTGAGTGTTTTTTTTTTGGAAATACGTGATGGGAGTGGTTTTCAAGCTTCATTATACAATAAGTGCCAAGCTGCCCAAGCTGTCATAGTGGTTTTTTGAGGTTTGGATGTCTGGAGGGAGCAGACAAGATCTTCATTTCCATAGAGCTTTGGACACTGTGTTGCAAGCCAGTCATAGAAAGAGAGACTAGATGAAACATCTATATGATAGATGAGAAACTGGAAAACTATATCAACAAAATACTCATCATGATATCTGCCCGCGTTGACATAGATAATCGTCTACTGTGAAAAACAGGAGGATGTTTCAAGTGGGACTTCAAACAGTGTGTTCTGGATCTGCATCAGGGGAAGTTCAGACGGGACATTAGGAAAAGGGGCGGTGGGTCACTGGAACAGGCTCCCCAGGGAAATGGTCACAGCACCAAGCCTGTCAGAGTTCAGGGAGCATCTGGACAATGCTTTTAGTCCTATGGATTAGTTTTAGGTGGTTCTGCAAAGAGCAGGGAGTTGGACTTGATGATCCTTATGGGTCCCTTCCCACTTGAGATATTCGGTGATTCTGTGGTACTACAACACATTCAAGTAGTGCTTTGGGTTATGGATTAGATAGTATGCTTACAATATTTAAAGACAACATGGAACTAGCAGGGGGTACAAATGTACTGGAGTCTGTAGAATGGATGAACAAGTGGGAACATAACAGCATTGAAATACATGATGACTTTGCAACAACAGGCTGTTGTAAGGAGGAAAGGAAGAATCTCTTCTCTGCAGACTGGTGAATAGGGCAAGGTCTGTTGCTTAAACTGCAAGAAGGAAATCCAAGGTATGTACCAGGAAAAAACCTCCAGTAGCATAGATAATGAAAACTGGATTATCTGGGGAATCACTGAAGGTCTTTAAGAATAGGTTAGACAATAGAGTTGTCAGGAGTAGCTTTGGTGAAAGTGATCCTTACTGGGGGGGCTGAAAGATGAATAACTGACGCTCTGCATTCGCTACAGCCCTACAATAAAAGATTATCATCCCAGCATATAGCTTAGTAAATATAGTCTACCTGGATGTATTTTATTCTCTTTCTCTTTTTCTTTTTAAAAGGAAGTCTTATGCATGTACACAGTAACAAAATTTTACCTTTATAGATCCCATTCCATCCACTCAACTGAGCATTTCCTCTGTGAGCTTCTAAGGATCCTCCATGATCAGATGCAAAATAAATGAATGTGGTATTCTTCAAGCCTTCTTTGTCAATAACATACAGAAGCCTGCCTGTAAACAAAGCAAAACATCATAATTATGTCCTGAGATGTAGTCAGATTTTTTTAGGTCTTGACTCAAAATTCAGTGAAGATCAAGTCTTTCCGTCTACCCGAATGATTTCTATTAGGAGCTACCACAAGAAATACAAAGAGTAATCCTGCATTACAGAAATAATAGGAACCCAACAGAAAGCTGCTGAATGTGCCCAAAATTTATTTGTGGTGTTTATAAAAACAGAAAAATAAAAAATAAAACCAATTGGAAAACAATTTAAATGAATGATCCTTTTATTCAAGCTACTCAGAATACTCTGTCAGCTTTATGCTGTAAAGTCAAGGATTGCCTCCATTCTGTAGCCTCAAGCATCTTGAAGAGCTTAAATAATAGTGCTGCCTAGATTCCTAACCACAGAAATCTGCTGTGTCTCACCAGGAACTGAACAGGGACTCTGAGATCAAGCTGCATACTATCAACCAAAATCTTCTGATGCCAGTGGGAAAACTCCACAGAATGTAATTGAAACCTAGCTTCATAAGGAATGTTTTTAGTACTGATAGCATCAAAAGTTTATACAGAATATGATTTATCTTTAATTGCTTGTCCTCAACACCTACTGCATAAAATATACTCCCCAAGAACAGCTTTCACAGCTACAGAAGCAGCAGCTAAAGCTGAAGTACGCAAGGAAAAACCATAAGCCAGTGATCGGCTCATCTGCTCAATCATTTCTCCTTTACAGACTTCCTGTGTCTCCTTGGTCAAACTACTTATTGGCCTTACCTAAAAACAGACACTTTCCTCCAAAAAGAGTTTAGATTGAGTCTAGGCGTATTGGTTCTGAATTAGACCCCAAATCTCTCACTTAGCTGTCCAACCCTTACACCATTTGACTTCTTTGCTATCCAGCTGTGCTTGCATAGCCTGTACCTGAAGGCGATGCGTGCCAAAAACTTGGAAGAGGATCATGGTAGAGTCCTCTGGTTCAACTGGCAGAGGTTCTCAGCCTATTCATCAGAAGCAATAGGGCTCCCCTCAAAATACAATTATTGTAAACATGGTTATTGGAAGAAGAAAAGGTTCAGGCATTGAATCTTGGCCTGGGCAGAAGGTGAATACTTTGTCAATAGGGTCTTCGATTTTGACTAAATACAAACAGGAGTTATCTCCCTCCCTCCCACTGAAGCAGAAAGGAGCCACTAAGTAAGGCTTAGGTCTAAATCTAGGCCCTGAATGCCAGTTTCTAAACCTAATTGGCACTCAGGGCCTAGATGTACACCTAAATGAATCTTCACAATATTCTGACTTCATACAATTTATTAAGTGAATCTCCATAGATTTTTAGTTTAGCCTTTTGGCTAGGATGGAGTTCTGGTTTCTGCTCCAAGGTTTATTCTTTGATAAAAACGAAAAAGTACACAAAACAACCACCATATAATGTAATATTCAGCAGCAGCACCACTTATATCTTCTGAGACTAGACAGAACTGGAGAAATCATACATTTTGATTAACAACATCATCAAGCACATGTTTGATTATTTGACTGCATTTAACACTGCAGCACACAAGTGTCAATTAAACAAATAAAAAGAATAAATCTTCACAAGAAAAGTTTGGGCTTTCATCTTAAGGAAGAAAAAAATGAGGTGTGCTAATGGAATGGCAATCTCTGGAGCTAATTGTGTATCCAAGGCAAGTTCACTAATTTTTGTCATATGCAAAAAAAGGAGTTCTGTGACCACCCCTTTAATTTCTTTTCCACATTCAAATAAAATAAGGATTTTCTTCAAGAAGACCACTTACCCACCATCCAGTCCATCCCCTCTACATTATCTCCATATAGGCCATGTCTGCTTCTTCCCTGAAACTTCTCTGTGGTAATGAGAGGGGTGTGAACATGTAAAAGGGAAACAAAGAGAAGAAATGGTCTATGCTTGTTTCTGAAATAAAGGAAAACAATAGTAATTTCTTTACAAACTGTCACTCAATCTAAAATATAACAGTGGTATTGCAGTGACTGTCTGAATAAAAATAATTGTGGTCTAAACCAAATTTTTTTGATTTTGACATCTTTGCATTTTTCAGGCTTTGGGAGACAGAGAGGATTAAAATACCCGTCAAAGATGGTCTGTATTAAGACCAAAATAGTAATGGGCCCTTTCTGTTTTTCGTTCCAAACTGAACAGATGTAGAACATTAAATAAATAACTAGGGAAGTTCATAGCTAAAAGACTGACATACTCTCAGAGGCAAGGATAATAGGACTTGCTTGCTTAAACTTATGGATATCACTGAGCATCTGAGACATTCTCATGGAAGAGGCAGATGTGACACTGCACTCACAAGGAACTGTATCCTTTCAACATCAGGCCAGGCAGGATATCCTAGGAACCTGAGATTGTCTATGCTCAAAGTTTTACAGAAGGGATCTATTTTACCCCCAATTTCCCTTAAAAAACAACCAACCAACACTTAAACCCTGACAGAAATATTATAATCTTATTCAAAGACACGCCCAGACTTGACACATGAATACTTTTAAAGACTTAGTGGTTTGTCCAATTCCAGTTGAGGTTACTGATAGTACTGTAAATGGACACCTTTGGAAAACAAAACAAAACTCACTATGACCCTCCTGTTTGTAAAATATTAACTTCATATGACACTTTCTATGACAGTCATTCATCAGGCTAAGATAATTTTTCTGTTCCTACTGGCAGAAGGCCCAGTCCTTGGCCAGGACCCCCTTTATATTAAGTGAACAAAACGTAAACAGCAAAAAAATAATCTTCTTTTTCCTGAGGATCTGACAACCTATGTGTAAGACAAAGGACAGCAGCTGGATGCTGACAGGTAGGGGATGCCAGAAAACAACAAATTACTGGCCAGCATCAGGACAGGTAGTTCAGTATGAGAGCTGCCTAACCTCGTGATGTATAACACAGCAATTGCATTATTTTTTAAAATCCTTAAAATGCAATACAATTTCTGCTGGTTACCTTTCAATGAATGAAACTGCCTCCTTCAACGTATTAGAAGTAGTTTTTTCTAGATTCATCGGTTGTTTGGCGATATCATGGTTTCTCATCAGGATACAGTTCCAGTACTTGGTGAAACCATAGCTGGAGAACCAGGAGATGAAATACAGGAGACCACAGATGGCCAGACATATGATTATTTTCCATTTTACTGATAATAAATTGGTAAGTTTTCCAATCAAAAGAGTAAGCACTGCAAGGATGGTCATCTGTGTGTAAAACCAATATGTATCTTGCAAAGACTTGGCCAGTTCAGGATCATCTGTGCCTTGACACTCATTCAAAAGGGTAAAAGGCATGCCGTTAAAAATAATCAAAGCCATGATTTAAAGGATGGTGGCAGTGATCATGGAGGGATTTGCAGTTCACACCCATATGCCACTCCCCTGAAAATATAAAACAAAGATCTTAAATCCAACATCATTACTCTTGGGCATGTCTGCCTGTATTTCTAATAGGTTGGCGGCACATCTCAGTTACAGCGCAGCCAAGGGAGGAGCTGGTATGGAGTGGGGACAGGCTCAGGGAGCAATCGTACATTGGCACTTTATGTGCCTAGAACAACTGGTTTTCCTCACCTATCTCTTAAAATTCCACGTAGGGCAATGGTCCAGCTCAGACGCCTCCCTGAGTAAGAACAAATAGGGTTGCAATAGTTGATGCTTATTTTTCACATGATAATGTAGCCATTCATTAATGGATAGCCTCATGGAGAGAAACCAGAGAAACCCTTGTGCCAAAAGAAACATCTATGTGCAAAAATATGAACTAATTTACACGCAAGCTCTATCTGACCTTCACAGTCCATGAAAAAATTTCAGGAAGAAGATGTACATATTGGCTCTGTGTGTCTATATTAATCCTGAAATGAGTAGCAAAAATAGTCCTTTCTAATTATCCAGTACAATTGGACATATCAGAATAGGTCATACACTGATAATGAACCTTAATGAAGTCATATTACAAAGCAGTGTAATTATCCTGACATTGAAGGACAGACAGGCTATAACCATGGGCTTAGGGGCTCTTAGCTAGACAAATAACTTCTGAGAAGTACTAGCCAGCTCCGTGCTCATGTATGTGAATGTAGTTTACAGTACAAGCTATACCAGACTGCAGTGAGCTAGGGAAAGGTCACCCCTTTGCACAGGCTTGTGTGTAGTCAGTACTTCACTAAGACTTCAACTTAGGAATGAAATGACACCTCAGTGTGCTGGAGCCAAGCATATGTGTGAAAATCACACTAATTACAGTTAAGTACATGACACCTTTGACTACATCAAAAAGAGTTTAAAAAAGAGAGGTGCTTGAAAGATTTTATCTTCATCCTTTAATCACTGTTCAGGCAAAATTAACAAAGAGTTAATAAGATTTTCTTTCTGGAAAATGTATTCTGATCCAACCCCCCTTGAAGTCAATGGGACTCTCTCAGCTTTTTTTCAGAGTTGTTTTTACAGAAAATGAAGGCACTTTTAGAGTCTTCACTGTGATAATAAGGAGGATGCATAAATAACAGAAAATCTATCCACCAGGTATAATTAAGACCACTGTGGTGTCTGGGTACCAGCTGGCAGACAACATTTTTCTTCTCTAATAGATCAGCGAGTATCTCTTGGTTCTTCCTGAAACAATCTGTACTGGGCAAACAAGATTCTTTCCTTTGCGTTTACATCTGTTTGCAGTGTACATCTATGTATTCCATACATCCTCATTTTGGATTTATCAGATATGCTGTGCTAACACTTTGGTTTGTGGATGGCATTCTAAAAACCCTGCTGATTTTGAAAGTTATGCATACAAGAAACTGTAACTGATCCTATCCATTTTGGCAAAGAAAAATATTTACAGAAGCAGCCTCATTTGAATAACAAGCAATGAAAAGGCAGCAAGTTCCTATGTCTTGTACCTACAAGTGCTGTAAAATAACCTTTCTGGTGCAGTATTCTGGTGGAAATAAATAGTTTCATTTTTTGAGAGCCCATCAGAACACCCATTCGAAAAGAGGACCTGCAGTGGAGTGCTGGATGCCATGCCTAGAGAGGAATACCAGTCTTTAAAATAAAACAAGCCAGATTTCAGATTTTTAGTCTTCTCAGGTTGTTCTTTTTAAGGAATGGGAGCCAGTTGCCTTAGCATAAGCCATTTAGTATGCCCTGGGATATTCTGACTGACCCCCAGGACAATTTCTCCTCCAAGTCCCATGTCATTGTCTGCTAGTCCAATGCAGATGTGTCAGCCATGCTGGGGTGCTGACAAATGGCGTTAAGATATATCATGTTAAAAAAAGGAAAGGAAAGGAAAAAAAGAAAAAATAGAAGAAGTTTCAGATAAAGCAAAAGGCTTACAAGTCAGGAGTACACACTTCTAAAATGTACAGTTCATGACTACATTTCTCCTAAGCAAGTCAGAATCACATCAAAGGAGCTATACTGGTTATTACTGCCATATGCAATGTCTGAAGTTTTCTGTCGTGAATTTACATGGCTGAAGTAAATCTGTTTTAAAACAGAATTGTTGAGAACTATTCCTCAGTCTGCCTCATTTCTCTATGAAAGAAGTTTGCCAGGATATTCAAAATATTACACTTTACTTGATATAATCATACTAACACTGAACATAACATACAATGTTTATCCAATTTTCTTCTTCATGTTTCTACCTCTGGATGCTTTGTGTTGTTTGGATTTTCACCCATTTCTGTGTTGTCATTTAGCCACCTTACATGTGCTTTATGTGGGGATTTTCCCATAGAAATCAATCACTAAATCTAGTCATCTTTATTTTTGCCCATTTCACTGAGGCCCCAAATCCTCAGATTAACTAGTCTTTAAAACGGTTTATTTAAGGGGATTTTTAATAGCAACAATGGCTAGACAAACTGCAGTGAACCGTTAGGGAGAGGCCCAACCTGATCTGATGGGGTATCTGCCAGTCAGGAAAGCTGCTCTACTTGGAGTACAGACAGCAGCTGCAGCAATGTGCTGAGTAAGTCTCACTCCGTCCTTTGCCAGGCTATCAATGTTAGGGGTCCTAAAGAGAAAAATCCCATCTCTGATAAAAATGTGTTGCACAGAAGTTCGTGGTATCCTGCTCCTCCTAGTTCTGTCAAGGACATCACCATCAAATTTACAAAACCCTCTGTCTATTTACAACTCAACTAGGAAAGCTCTGTGTTATGTATTTTTTGAGATACCTTGACTCTTTAGAAATAAATTTTCCATGGATACATGTGTTTTTATTAATAACTAAAAATAAAAAAGAGAAAGGGTGTTTCACGTCTATTGCACATCAAAAGCTCATGCAGCATATTGAAAAATATTGCATTAATAGATACAGTACAATACAATTTCCAAGACCATAACAGGTTAGAGTAAACACCATATATATATATATATATAAAAATCATTCTATCAATCAAGCTATATACAGATTGATAACTGCACTAGAGATAAATATATCACATAGACTAAGCCATCATTTCATACTAAGCCTATTAGAGTTGTTGGCTGATATTAAATCCTAATCTCAGTCCTTGATATTTCAACCCTAGGGTTGTGGAAACTTAAAAATTATACACGTCTGACAAATACAGTGCATGGACACATTTGCAAATTCTGACTGTATATGCTGAAAATTAGAAGCCCAAGAAAGTTGCTCAAGCATGTGTGTATAACTATGACTCCAGTAGGAATTACTGTAGAACATTTATTTTGTACGTGGTTTGAAAAGAAGTATATCTAGATAAACTAATCTATTAATAATGAATTTTCTAATACTAAGTGTCATCAGTGTTTTTTCCACTGAAATTCACCAGGAAGGGATAAATTATTTCGTAGAATACATTCTTACCTTATTATATCATTGCCATAGCAACCCGCATCTTCAATACCAAGGTCATCAGCCAGTATGAGTAAAAAATTGGGTTTTGCAGGATTTGTTACACAGGTTCTTGGAAACAAGCATAAAATTGGCCAAATGTTTAGGCAGCTCCTGAAATTAAAAGTAAAGAGGTAATATTACAAAAATATTTGTAAACTTTACAATAAACTTTAAACTATTATTGTTAAAGTTTTAGGACTCAGTATAGATGCAAACAGCTACCAAATATTGCCAGCAGATGGTGCTCCTGAATATTTACAAAAGTTGTTGGGTTTTCTAAAACCAGTAATATTGGGTTTTTATTCACACAGTACTCTTGTCTGTGAATTCCTTTATTGAGATTTGCACTGGTGCCAGCAGGTGTTTCCAGCAGAATGAGTGTTTGGATGCTTGCAAGTCTCCTGAGGCACCCCTTGTACATGGCTGTAGGACACTCCTGTTAAGGCTCCTCGAATGAGCGGGACAGGAGCGTGGAGGTGGTTGGTGTGGAGGCACGCTGGTTATGATGGCAATGCCTTGACTATTGCATCCGCTGCACCCAGTGCTACACACAGCTTCTGGAAAGCACTCCTTCAGCCACGGGACCACCTGCAAAATCAAGGTTGCAGCAATGGGCTTAACTTGGTTATCTTCCTAGAAGACCCTAAGAATATCTCAGCACATGTCTTAGTTGCTCAAGGTGCAAGAGGCAGCTTACAGATGTTTCCCTGAAGTAAAATATATATGCTAGAACATATCTACTGACTGCCAGCTCATTAATAGATACTGCAATGTGATGAATGCATAATAAATATACTATATTATATATTGTATATACTCCTAAACCTCCACATCCTGTAAAAGTAGGGTAAAAGACCTTGAAACACCAATGGATCTAAACCTATATTAGCTGCCCTTAGATTCTCAATGAGTTTTGGGGAGGCAAAGAGAGAGATATGTTTACATTTTCTTAAGCACAACACTTAAAAGCCAGGAAAGTCCCTCAGCAAACATCTTTTCTTACCATTGTTTGCCCTGGTAAACGTCATGGTTTCTCCTTATGAAGCAGGTACGTAGTTGGTCACATAAATTCTGGTGAAAAAAAGGAAAAAAAACCAAAGAGATCAGAGCCTGTAGCTCCGTTGATCTTGTCTGGGAGGTTGGTCATTAGCTGCCCTCCATTACCGCCATCGCATCGCCACGGCCTGCGGCTGGCTACGAGAGCGGTGGGCTGGACTGCTGGGCTTGGTTGCGCAGCCCTCAGCGTGTGCTGGCAGCGCCCTGCGGAACCGCGCTGCAAGGCAGAAAGAGCACTTCTGAGGACGGGGAAGGGCAGGCAGCACAGCAGGCAGTTTTGCAAGACCTGGCCTGTTCTCAGCTGCCAATAACTTTAGGGGGACTTGCGAGTGGTTGGCACGAAGGCTAAGTGCCCGCAGCTTCAAACAAGTGTTAAAGGTGCCGCTTACTCAATACGTGCACAGAACTGATGGAGTTTGCTGAAAGGAAGGTTTACCCCTAAGTTACAAACAGGAGATAATGGTAAGTGAAACTAGTATCTCACCCTTTGCCTCAAATTATCTTTAAGGTCCAGGAAAATAATCCTTGCTGTGAACTTCGAAACCACAAAAAATGCCTCAAAGAAAAGCCATCTTGGAAACTAATATTTGCAGTGTAATTCTTAGGGAAGGAACTGTAACATGCTTAGTTTGGGTGCATTTGGGTACATTCAAGGAAGTGTTTCTGTTGAATGTTATTCAAACCTGTCCAGAAACATAAATATCATTATGATGATTTCCTTACAAGACTTCAAAGCTTAATGTCATTTATAAATTTAACAAGAGAGTTTTTCTTTAACTGCCAACTCTATGAACTCAACCTGGACTTAAAAAACCTAGAAACAACCCTTCAGTTTCTAAATATTTATTTTTGTCTGGCAAGGCAAATTTTATGAGTGGAAATAATTTCCTATGCTTGCTGAAACAGAGAGCACAACTAGTCACTGCGGACAGAGAATTGCTTGGGAAATGCACTGCTTTTCCTTGTGAATGGACACAGAGTAAGGGATCTGCAGAAAATGTTGCACTGGAGTCATGCAAACAGTCATGCAGAAGTACGTGGTGAACTGGCTCCATGGGGACTAGCATATGCTAACCTTCATGCTGTACACTGAAATAAATTAGAGATGAATTCATTCCTTCACTGTGAAAAGAGATAAAAATCTGAGATATCCAACCCATGTGAAATCCATACTTTTCTACCCTTCTTTCCATTTCAAACCAGCACAAGAACAGATATGTCCTCAGCTTTATTAAGGAACAGATTGAAGCAAATAAGAATATTTACTTTCTATAACAACTAAAAGCACGTTTGTAAACATAAGGTTACTTCTAAACACAGAGAACAGAAAAGTTCCATCTTGACTAATACAAGACTTATGTGTGGGTTTTTTTTTTCTTTTTTCCCCAAAATCAGCATGTTCTCCAGTGGGAAAAAAAGAGTATTTTCTGACAGAACTTTTTTCTGCCTTTTTGGTACATAAGAGTGCTGCAGTTACTTTGAATGTCTGAGGAATACTAAACAGGCCAGAGCAGAGTATAATCCTGCCCTATGCATTTCAAAGAAGGAGCCATAGAATAAAAAAAATGCGGGTGCTGTTATTCTGACCAGGAAAATAGTATAAAAAGAGTCAGAACCAGGGGTCCATTGATGATTTTTCCAAATAACCTCTTGGTGTTTGGCTATGGCTGAGACAACATGGGAAAGAAATATAAAAAAATAAAAATAATAAAAAAAAAATCTCTATTAAATGTGTAATTTTCCTTAGGGTTGATGACACTTCCCCCTCTCTGTTGGCAAGATCATGAAAGGCAGTACTGAGAGCTCATCCTCCCTACCCACTGGCTGAGTCTGAGATTAATGGGGAAGCAGGTCTCTCTGGACCCAATGCATTGGCTGATCGAAGCAGGACCGTGCTCCGAATGCAGATGCCAGAAGCCTAATAGCATGTTTTAAAAAACAGGCTGTATTAATGTAAAGCAAAGAACTCACTAATAAGAGCTCAAATCTTTTATTTGTGTGGTCGTGGTGCCTCAGAATCACAGCCTGTCAGCAGTTCTCCCAAAGCCCCCATGAACTATGGCCCCATAGGACAGTGCTGAGGTGACAATGAGGTAAGTGCACGAAGGCATTAGCCTGCAAGAAGGAAAACCTAGCAAGAGCTCTGGTCCTTACCTGTAATAGGAAGGAAAATTCTTTATGGTTCTTTAACAGTGGAGGCAGAGCTCTGCTTTCACAGCAACTGGTAGGCAGCGTTGCGTTTAAAGGGCTTGGGGTACATGATTAAGCCAAAACTACATCCCTCAGGGGTCTATGTTAGGACCGGTTCTGTTGAGTATCTTCATCAATGACATAGGCAGTGGGATCGAGTGCACCCTCAGCGAGTTTGCAGATGTCGCCAAGATGAGTGGTGTGGTTGAGACGCCTGAGGGACGGGATGCCATCCAGAGGGACCTGGACACGCTAGAGAAGTGGGCCCATGTGAATCTCATGAGGTTCAACAAGGCCAAGTGCAGGGTCCTGCACATGGGTCAGGGTAACCCCTGGAATCGGCACGGGCTGGGGGATGAAGGGACTGAGAGCAGCCCTGCCGAGAAGGACTTGGGGGTACTGGTGGATGAAGAGCTGGACATGAGCCAGCAATGTGTGCTCACAGCCCAGGCGGCCAACTGTATCCTGGGCTGCATCCAAAGCAGCGTGGCCAGCAGGTCAAGGGAGGTGATGCTGCCCCTGTACTCCTCTCTGGTGAGAACGCACCTGGAGTCCTGCATCCAGCTCTGGAGCCCTCAGCACAGGAAAGACATGGACCTGTTGGAGCGGGTCCAGAGGCCACCAAAATGATCAGAGGGATGGAACACCTCTCCTGTGAGGACAGGCTGAGAGAGTTGGGGGTGGTTCAGCCTGGAGAAGAGAAGGCTCTGGGAAGACCTTATTGCAACCTTCCAGTACTTAAAGGGGGCCCATAAGAGAGATGGGGACAGACTTTTTAGCAGGGCCTGTAGCGATAGGACAAGGGGTCATGGTTTTAAAGTAAAAGAGAGTAGGTTCAGATTAGATATAGGGAAGAAATTTTTCACAATGAGGCTGGTGAAACCCTGGCACAAGTTGCCCAGAGAGGTGGTAGATGCCCCATCCCTGGCAACATTCAAGGTCAGGTTGGATGAGACGTTGAGCAACCTGATACAGTTGAAGATGTCCCTGGTCATTGTGGGGGGGGTGGACTAGGTGACCTGTAAATGTCCCTTCCAAACCAAACTGTTCTATGATTCTATTGCAATGAAAACGTTCTCAGCCTATGCTAAGGATTGTCACCAGCCCTCTTGAGCTGTAGTGGAGCAGGAACCAGACCGACCTGTACATCTAAGAAAACCCTTGATTTCCTGTGGGTGTTTGTAAACTTTCTAAGGTGGTGGAACAGCTCTGCTGCTTTCCACATTCCCCCCACAGGTTCATGCGGCACAGCCCACTGGTGATGGCAGGCACATTGGTGTTTAGACAGAGACTTTGTACAACCCCTCTTGAAAGCTGTGAATTTATAACCAGGGAGTTGCAGTGGTGGTATTAAAAGATATTTAGGTCTTAATACCACTGGCAGTGGCATGATTAAAATTAGTGATTCCTGATTTACTACAAGCCATTCTAGGGACACTAACTTTACGAAAGGATGAGAAAAAATATCAAACTTGTTTAAAAAAACCAAACAAGCCCCACAATGATTTAAATATGCATATTCACTTTTTTTCTGTTAGGGCCTGATTCCTTCTGAAAGCAGAGCTCTCACTAACGTTGCTAGGATTATCATGAACGCTGTACGGGGCCCTAGGGCTTGTCCAGTTTCCTTAGCTGTTAAGTGGAAAAAATACTTAATCCATAAATCTAATATCAGCCTCTTAAGAATCAGCAGAGTTACTTACAGAAATCTGAGGAAACATTAGATATTAATTCCTCTGTAAGCCAGCACGCCACAATAAATGATGAAGACTAATAAAAAAGGCCAACCCCTTTTAACAATGTGGAAAACAAACTCGCGCCTCAGCTATTCTTCTTGCTCTGCAATCCCTCTTGCTCCTTGGTGTGCTGAGAAGTCCTGATCCTCTCAGACGGGTGTGGGAGGCAGCAGGCTGGGACTTGCTCCTCTTCCTCTTCCTCTCCCTTCCCCCAGTCCGCAGCACGGAAACCGCCTGGGATCCTCGCCAGCAACCACAGCAAACTGGAACCGCCGCGCAGGCTTTACATGAATCCCAGGCGGAGCTACAAAGTCCTTGTTCTCGAAATACTGGCACAACATGGCTGCTGCCTTTGCTAGACTCCCTCTCCAGTTAATTCTGTGCAGATTTGTATAAATGTCACCGCTCCATTTCAGTGCCTCCAAAGAGATGTTATAAATAATAACTACGCGGCTCTCGGCGCCCCGGGGTTTTGTTTACCCCACCCTACTTTTCCAGCCTTGCAGGCAGGATAACAGGACTAGCTTGTCCTCCCCCTTTTCCTCTGTCACTTTGCCTTTTCGTCTTTGTTGCTTTTTCAGGAAAGGTAGACCTACCTGTGCTGAAGATATTAATTGCTTTTTCTTCCCCCACCCCCAAGAACTGGAAGTTTAATATTCTGCCCCCACCCCGTCCCCTTCTTTCAGAACTTAACTCTGTTATAATACGCTTTACCCTTCAAAAGGTCTTAAGCAATTACTTAAGAGGAGCTCTCATCTATTCTTTTGTTGACATTTCAGTTCTCCGAGTTACATGAATACAGTGAATGCTGAATTTATCGCTGTGTTCTGGAGAAGTCAGTAGGAGTCAGTGAGGTGGAAAGATGAAGCAGCTTAAACTATCGTATTTGTATAATACACAGCAGGGATAATCATGGTTGGAAGCAGTTTTTTATTTGTTGACCTCTTTGCACTTATGGCTATACTCAGTTATTTTTATAAGAGGTAAGTTTTCAAATTGGGCTACTTTCACTCATACCTATTTGACTATATTACTTATTTTGTATGAGTACTTAAGAGCTTGTAATGTTTCTAGTGCAAAGATTTTTCTTGAAAAAATTACACTTCTCAAAAATTACATGTTTTGGGAAAGATGGATCTTAAAAGTCACCAATAACATCAGTATTCATTTCCATCTGTCTTTGGTTCA